GTAAATTACTGTTGAGCTAAATCTGTACTCGCTGATGCCATTTATGTTTACACAGAAGTGAAATATGTATCCAATCAAATTTCCCCCGATTTTCAGTTCTTGACTTAAATAGAGTGTAGAATGAGAGATTATGCTATGTTGTTCCAAGCTTGAATTGGGAGGGCGACTGCAATTATTCTGTTTCTAGTATTGAAAAATCGAGAATATTCAACTTTCTGTTGCCATGTTCGCGTATTGATCAAAAACTAGCACAAATTACAGCGAAAAAAATATTTTAAGAGTCGAACGTTATACACAAAACAGACCTTAGAACTCTCTAGCGCATCACAATGGATAAAGCTCTGGCACATAGGAGTTCTTGGCTTCCAAAAATTATCAATAGCAGTAAGTGAGCAGTGAGTCATCACTCCAAAAATTATGGGTTACTCTTTGTCATGTTTCGATTATTTGGTTGCGTTTGATCGCAGAAGTTTTTGTAGAATTCAAAAAAAAACCTCGCATAGAACAAAACTCAATTCTAGAACCACCTAAAAAAAACTCGCGCCGCACCCGTAGTTTTTACGCTCAGAATAGCAAAAACAGTAGAGGGTGATCTAAAGGGAATTAACTGACAAGTATGATGATTTGAGTATGATTTTGTATTGTGAGTATGATTTTGGTTTCAGAGCATGGAGAGACTTTATGGCGTTAAGTACCTCGGCAGCGTTTTGACAAAATTTTTATCCACTTTTTCACCTTTTCGGACTCTCCTCGTCTTGAGGAATCGATATCTGGGCTATTCAACGCATGAAAGTAGCAAGAATGAGCTTTTTCCAAAGCTTTTCAGGTCCGCATTCAGTGAAGATACGCCAGAAGTCTTCCGCGCCCCGCTCCCCTTGTTCCGGGCTCCGCCCACTTGCACGTATTCTCCAGTGAATGCGAACTTAAAAGCTTTGAGCCTGTTATTGCCACAGGCACTGAAAAGCCCAGATATGAGTTCCTTATGGCGAAAAGGCTAAACAACGAAATTCTGCCGAGACATTGCTTGAAGACATTCAAAATTCCCTCCGAAGTTATTGAAGACACGGATTAAAAACCATACTTTTCAATTCAAGCGAGGCATTCAAAACCTATAACCGTAAAACTGTACACGGAGAAAGAGCAGGTAATAGGACCTACAATACTAACAGCTTCGATTTTTACTGCACTTTTTGGATTTGTTATGACCCTACCCCGAAAATTCAAGATTTGAGTAATTTTCTTCTACCGCTTCTACCTATGCAGTGTATGCTCAATTGAAAACCACCTCTAACGCGCCTTTATCAAAAGAATGAATTGCTCCCTCAGATAAAAATGAAAACACGACTTCGGTTGAGAAAAACCAGCATTTATGAATTTTTGAAAATGCTGCGACAGAACGTTCGGGCCAACCTAATATAATCAAATCTTTTTAGATTTTCTTGCACTTCTCCCCACCAAAATCCCTACGATTGAGTGCCCCCCCCCCTGAGTTGTTGTATCGCCATGATATGTCACCACTTATTTTTGCTTGAAACCACTGTCAGAAAGCTTGTGTTTTTTCTATGTAATGTATATTAATGAACATAAAAGTCATAAAACCTTTTCACTTTGCCATTGAAGTAACGGGCCAGTTAGACATCTTGCGACCTACCGTTCTCTCGTAAACTTTGTGCTATAGGAGCTTTAACTTGAGTAGAATATGAGACACAAGCTGATTGTGAACAGATCTTTGTCAAAAAAGCGTGATCTTCATTCATTTCTGCTTGTTCTGTCCTTCTTAGAAGTCAGAGAGTCAACTCTTGAGGCGTCTCAAAGCTTTAAAAATTACATATAGAGATTTGTGCAAGATATAATTAGGGTCAAGCATGGGGTGTGGCACGCCACACCTGGGGGTCGTATCAAAAAAAGGATAAAGGATTCGGCGTCTTCAATATCCTCTGAGGGTATGCGCCGAACGCACACACTAACTTCATAGTCGAAGAGGCAATTGTATGCGTGCGAGCCTATTACAACTGCTTGCGCACGGCGTTCTTTCTCTGCATGCGTTGTGTCGAATATACAGGGTGTCCCAAAAGTAAGTACACACTTTTCAATCGTTAATAGCTCTCTTCCCGTTGAGTCTTTTCCTGCCATCTAAGTACTTTTCTGTAGAGGAGGCTTCAACTTAGATATACAGTACCAAGCGAGTCACCGATCGCTCTTCGTTACTGTAGGATTACGGTAAGAACTTCCAGCATGTGGAACCATTGTGCAATACGCTATCTGACAAAAATTTTACAAAAAATCTGAAAAATCGTGTACCAGGGTTTTCGCGCACGCTGGTCTACTACACAACTTATGAGTGTTTTCAGCTTTTTTAATGGTGTAATCACATTTCTGACAAGTACTGGGAATTTGGTTATAACGGTTTAACAGGGATAACTTTGGAAAGAAAGCATCACGGTAAACTGGAAGTTTCATAATCGAGATCGGCGGCTTCGATTACCACAGTATAAGAGTTGACGGCTTGTTTGGTTTGGTTTCGAGGCAGAATATGGCCTTTAATGGCCTAAAGTCCTTGTCGAAGTTCTCACCGTAATCCTTCAGTATCGACTCAGACAATCGCCGGGGGCAGGCGGGCACCGGAAAATACGCGTTGCTGAAATTTCGCATCCCGCTCGCGAATTCCAGGAAAATAGTTAGCGAGTTTCTGAGAGACCGCCTGTTAAATATTGCTGAATCTCTGAGGAATCGAGAATTCAGCAAGCGACGTTTCGAAAAGTCCTAATTGCCTCTCAAAAAATCCGCGAGCGGGATTCGAGAAACCAGCCATCTATTTTTCCGGTGCCCGCCTGCCCCGGCGATTGTCTAAGGAAAAGCGATCGATGATTCCCTCGACACTGTAAATCTAAGTTGAAGTCTCCTCTACAGACTGATATTAAAATGGCGGAGAAAGAGACAATGGGGAGAAAGATATTGACGGTTGAAAAGTGTGTACTTACTTTTGGGACACCCTGTACATTTTGGGTTTTGCTGGAGAGTTGCGAGTAAGAGTGCCGTAGGTCGTTGCGCGATGTGTGCAGAAATTTTCGCTCCCACACGCAAACTATTTACAATTAGATACACTGTCCCACTACATCCACAACCTTTTCCCCTCCCCGGTCGACGTTTTATTTTCTTAATCGCGAAACAGCCTTCAACTGGAGGGGCTGCGACCACTGTGACCACCCTCCTGGAGGAGTCATTCTCACCTTATCACACTTATGCAAATGTGGGTAATTTCAAATTAGCCATCAAATCTACGATGATGGGGAGGCCAGGTAAAGGTCAAATAGTGTTTCCACGTACTTTTTTCTTTAAGCCTGTGCACGATTTATAGAATCTTGTGCAGTGTTGTTCTTCCGACCAGGTTTTTATGGTGGATCTTTATTGTTGACCTCACGTTTCGAGAAATATCGTCTTCTTCGGAGGCCTGAAAGGTCAAAATCGCAAGCAGCAATGGCTACATATTGCGCAGTCTCGACAGCGAACATCTAGACGACTCGCAAATCGTATTTATATTACGAGCGCAGTTGGAAAATGAGGTAATGCTGGTCAACATTCCTAGTATTAGGCTGCTGCATAAGTTCTGTCCGATTTGAATTTTTTGAGTTCAAAATGTCATAACTCTCTTCAAAGTCAACATTTTTCCAAGCTTTTAGTTTCTATGTGTTTAGTAATTCCTTGGCTATCAGAAACATTTTGAAACCTGCGAAAATCCTTGTAAAGGAAGGAGCAGGAACTCAAAACCTTCACAGCGTTTTTCTTCAAACCTGTCTTTTTTTTGACATGGCAGTGCTCCCTTATGAGAATTGATACACATCTTATCCAACAATGGATAGATAGAGAATTTTTCGCAGATTATTTTGAGACATAAAAGAGCCCATAGGGTCTACGCTTCCGAGAGATTTTTTTTGACCGAGCAAAAAAGAAGCCATTTTTTGACCTCGCCTCAGTGCATGTGTGCATGCCTATTTACGAGTTATGAAAATTTTACAATTAACGTGAGCGCCGAAAAGAAATTGGTGGATGGTTTCTGCTAGCCCTTGCTTTACCCTAACACCTCCAACTTTGAAGTCGTCGATTGCTTCTATTCACAGAAGGTTATAGCTTGTAAAACATCTATACAGAAAATTAATGTTTGACAACAAATTTTACTAGCAAGACGTTTTCTTCATGAAACTGAACTTGTGCGTATGCTAGCTTGTTACACCCTTATTCCGGAACCGATAAAAAAATTTGACCTATAAAGCGCATTATGAAGACTTCCTCGCAAGAACATATTTCTGGGGTGAGAACGTACTTCGACCACTTGGAGATTTTAGGCCTGAAATCTCCCTACACTAAGAAATTTATTGAAATTCGATATGCTTTAGAATGCGCAAGAAAAGCACTTTTAAATGATACTAACAATATCGCATCAGAGATGAGATCCTCTCAGCGCAGCTGCTTCAAACATAAGGCAAAAAATTTCGGACAGAACTTATGCAGCAACCTAATAGTAACATCAGAAAGCGGTTGATCAGGAATAGATTGTATGACGTAGATCGTATATCAAAAAATGCATCGTCTGTTATTGCGCGAAACTGGGTGATTGCGCGAAGGAGAGTACCGTTTATCAGTTGGAATGCCTGGATTGTGGCACGACGTATATAGGAGAGACGGGAAGAAGTCTGAGCGTAAGAATGAAAGGACATCTGGCTAACAAAAAACGTGGAAACCTGTCATCACCTTTAGAGTAAGATCGAGGCACTGACAGTGATCTTAATGTAAAGTGTACACTTCTAGAGAACGAGGTTGAGGTTTTGGCACAAAAATTGATTGAAGCGTGCATATACGCCGGGAATCCGGGAATGAACAAGCGTTGAAGAACTCGTGACAATAACCGCCTATCTCTTGCCTCTTATGTCGCTATGTGGCCTAGAAGCACACAATATATTTAGTGCAAGACTCACTGAGCAGCTTAATTGATGTTCGTCACTTTCGTGCGGACTACTGACCCGATGGTGGACTAGAGGTTGGTGAATCCACTTTTGATTGTTTCTCGTCAAGTTGCGCCTTGACAAGAATCAAACAACGAAAGCTTGAGGAGGCGTTTTGTCATATAAACTAACAGACAATATAATCGCGATCCCCTTTCAGAGTCCGAAGAAGGCGATATTTGTCAAAACGTAAGTGAACAATAAAGATCCCCCATTGAAACCTGGTCGGCAGAACAACACTACACGGTATTCGCTGAATAGTTTATTCTAAACGGAGAAGACCAGATGAGGGCATGCTATTAGTATTTCATAGTCGAATACGCAGAATTTTAAATGGGATTTTCTGAAGTGGGCGGTGCCTACAGTTCAGAGTCGAAACTGCGTATGTTCGTATGAATTCAGAAATGTTCAGCTCAGCCAACTATGGTGCTAGAAAGGCGGCAATATAGTAGTGTTTTTGATGAAGTTTACGAAAATTGTGATATTTCGACTGGGAAGGGAGCGGGGCATAAAGTTAACGGTAGAGAGGTAAAAATTGCACAATAAAATTAAAGTTTTGAAGGTTGTAAAATCTTTGGAATCTCTAAAATCAACAAAATCGAACTGATATCATCGTAAAATCCAAAATCTCACTTTCATCGACTTCCGATCGTAACCCTTTATGCAACAATTTTATCAATTTTTGTTATGTGCTCAGAATTTCTGCTCGATATACAAGATTTCGAGACTAAATGAAGGTAAAGTTTTGCCTAAATTTTGCTGATTTTTAACATTTCGTGAATCTCGAAAACTTCGATTTATCGATTTTACCGATTTCTATCACTTCCCACGTTCTAGAGCTTCCGCCGTTTTCCATAACCACGAAATTCGCTTATTTTAGAGATTTTGAAATCCGCGAACTTCTCAAAACTCCCCAGTCTCACTATTCTTCAGCCCCGCACCTTCCACAGTATCCCTATCCCCACCAACCATCAAACCCGCACAATAAACTCCATTTTTCCCCCTCACTTTCCCCATCCATTCGCTTGAAAACCACCCTATTCTAGCCAAATTCTCTGCTAGCCCCACCCACTTTTGGCCCCATTTCATACCTAAGTCTCCGCCCACTTCACCCCCCCCCCCCCCCACCTTCCCATTCCAACCCACCCGTGCCCGCGCCACTAATTCACCACTAACCACCAATAAACCACTACCGACCTACTTATGTATAGAGATAGAGGATCAAATTAAGAATACTGTAAGGCAGCGCCCCTTCACATCCGTGTCGCTGCCCAACATTCTTCAGGAATTGATAGCGTATGTTGTGCCGAGATATTGTTATGGGCATGTTTGACAAAGCATCAAGATTATACTCTATAAGTTTAGCGATTGTTAAATTCAAGCTCAAGCAAGAGCTCTGAAATCTTCGGTGAAAGCTCACGATGACTCTTTGGAATATCGGATGGCAATGCGGAATAAGAGTACAGGCATATTGACATCATATTGCATCCACAAAATCTATTTATTTTTAGCAGGAGTCGTAATCTGTTCAAGCACAACTATTACAAATAATACTACCTATAAAAACAAAGCCTCTCCGAGTCCTTTAATCGTATAGAATGATAACCACATGGCATCTAGCTTAGCCGCAAAACTCTTATCAAGTGTAATACTCAAGTGAAGCATCAAAAATTCGCTTTTTTTCACAATCTCACTTTATCAAGACACATGAAACAAACGTCTCCGCAAAACGAGTGATTAGATGTTATCACACACCCATAAAGCGATTAGCGACTCGGAGAATGACATAGAGCGGATTTCATGGAATTATTAGCCTTTCTTTTTTGGAGCAGTTTGGGTCTGAGATTTTCTCGAACATTCTTATGGAAATACTAGCTGGCTTACCCGGCTCCGCCGTATGTTCCGAATAGAAAATTCCACTTCTTAACCGATCCGGACCAAACTTGGCACACATACACTTCGGGCCCGGCGGGTGTCACAGTCCACTTTTCGTTATCGATCGATGTCGATTTTATCGATTTTTTGCAAAATTTGAGCTACGGGGCTGGGAGTTGGCACGGGGGTGATCAGCATGCTCGATTACCCCCTGTGCCAACTCCCAGCCCCGTAGCTCAAATTTTGCAAAAAATCGATAAAATCAATATCGATCGATGACGAAAAGTAGCCTATGACACCCGCCGGGGCCCGATGTGTATGTGTGCCAAGTTTGGTCCGGATCGGTTCAGAAATGGAATTTTCTATTCGGAACATACGTAGAGACAGACAGACATACAGACATACAGACATACAGACAGACAAACAGACATTCAGCTTTATATATAAGATTCATAATTATGTTGTTTAAAGTTTGCTCACTAAAGATTGGCTTTTTGTTTCGTCAAAAACTTTGCTTCGAAGCCTATGGCTATTTTCTCTTATATCATGATCTTCAAATTTTTTGCTATCCATTGAGAGTTACTAAATATGCCTACCACCTCATGATAGAGCACTACCTTACCAAAGCAAGTCAGGTTCATGCTTCTTCCTCAGCAAAATTTTTTTCCAAAGATTGGTAAGGTCGAAAACCAAAATATTGTTCAATCCATCAAAACTAGAATTATCGGAGAAAGATTCTGGAAGATTTATACTATTTCGAATTTGTAAATTGCAATTTGCAGATCGTACAAAATTCATGCAGCAACCTCCTCAGAAATGATGTGTGGTAAAACTAAGTTCATTACAATTGCGCTGAACTGATTGCGAGAGCTTTTATTGAACACTGGTGGTCCCTTGTCTCATACGTTGTCATACCTTTGAAGGCAGCATCTGGGCAGATTTTCGAATTAAACTTTGTTTTCTCCAGCTTTTCAATGGTCTTGATCTTTTGTATAAAACATGAAAAGCATAGATCTCTTGGACATCCTTTTATGGGATTATTGACAACTGTGAACGAGTATCTTGGCATTACGTCGAAAGCGTGAAGTAAGCGTTTTTTTATTTCAGAAAAAAACGGTTTTGGGAGATGTGTAAGAAGGAATAGCACACGCAGATGGGCGGTCCAAAAATCCGCCTCACCCTGCCTACAAGAAGGGCGGGCCATTTTGCGATATAAAATAATCCCTGTGGTGTGACTGTTATCACTCTTGACTCTTGAAATTGTTTGTTCTACTCTCATGGCCCATCAATCTTTCTCCTAACAGATTTGCTGCACCACTCGCTCCTCTTAATTGTGGCATTAGCACTAATGAATACTGAAGTGTATGAAGCAGTATCTTTCGACAACGAGACTAATATAAAATTGTAGTGTAAGCCTTCAAAATTGATTTTTGAGATTTTAAAGCGCTATTTTGGCATTTGAATATCCCGGAATTTTGCAGGAAGGATACTTAGGGTAGCAATAAATGATGAATTGAGGAGTTGTGTATCTTGTAGATTTTAATAGCGTACATGTGTGATGATAGCTTTGATGGAATTATGAGGAGACAGGTGCAAATTATTTCACTGATACATGAAGGAAGTTAAATCCTTTTTTAGAAAGAAATTCCAGGAAGTATAGAAAGATTCTACGAGAGTAAAATTCTGCATTTATGAAAGTTTTGCTCACATTTCCTTGAGAAGTCTATAGGGATTTTTTAAGTATATCGGTGTTTCAGAAGACCTTTTGGAAGGTTACCCACTAAGTTACTATCGAATAGAGAGCCTCAAAAGGACTGTACTTGCTTTTCTGTACAAAGACTTTCAAGAGGCTTTGGACATTTTATTGGGAAGGCCTTCAAAGTAAGAGAAATATGCGTTTTGTCAAAAAAATTTCTATGTATTAGGTGGGTTCGAAAGTTTTGTCGGTTTTTTCAATCCATCGGCAAACACGCTAGAATGAAGATAAACAAATATTTCGAAATGTATCTGCAGAATTTCTTCCTCTTTTCAGCTGCTAAACTGCCATTGTGTTTCATTGCGAGAGTGACAAGATATTTGCTGGAAATTACAACCACTCGTTTTTACCATCTCCAACTTTCGCTAATTTTCAGAATTTTTGTATGTGACTTTCGGAGGACCCTAATAACCAGCAGATAGGGCAAACCTTTTGCCAACTTATGCAATTTTTTTCTTTTTTTCAGCTGCTTTTTCAGATTTTTGCTAAATAATTTTCTAAAAATCGTGTTTTGGCAAAATAGCATAATCTATTATTGCACCAAACACTGCAAAACCTAAAGAAAACTGAGGTTTCAACACATGATTATTCTATCGCCACCATTACAAAGTAAATGAGCTATTTTCGCTTCAAATTATGAAGATTTTGAAACATAGGTTACATCAGCGCGCACTCCTGAAGTTGAGAAATACTGCGATTTTTCCCACAGATTTTGCCTGCCTCGGCAAAGAAAGACAGGTGTTAGAAAGAGGAGAAGATTCTGCATCGATTAGTGACTGAAATGTTCATCATTTTATGCTCTACGAAGTTAAAATAGGATGATTGTAAAATCTGGTCACTTCAAAAAATAAATCGTAGAATTCTGGAAGACAAGCCGTAGGGCTACAAAAAATTGCCTCTGTTGGCAAAAGGTTTGCCCTACTCGCTGGTTATCAGGGCTCCTCCGAAAGTCTCACACAAAAATTTTGAAAATTAGTGGAAGTTGAACATGGTAAAAACGAGTGGTTGTAATTTCCAGCAAATATCTCGTCATTCTCGCAATGAAACACAATGATAGTTAAGCAGCTGAAAAGAGGAAGAAATTCTGCATTGGACATTTTGAAGCGTTTGAAACTTTCGGACCCACCTAATATTTTGAAAAATTCACGACGTTTCTGGCAGATGAACTCCATAATGTAAAAAAATATTTATTTTGGTTCCAACGTATTTAGAGATAGGGTAGTGATGCTTTCGTGTAAAAGAAAATCTGTGATACTTTTGTTGGGGAAGGCGGATGGTGAAAAGTTTCGAAGCTAAGAAAATCTCTTGTTGGTGCTGGTGGGAAAGATTGAGATGTGTAAGCAAACATCCTGATGGTAAAAAGCTTTTCTGCAGAAAACTCGCATCTGTTCTGCTATTCAAATTTTGAGGATTATGAGACTAGCTGGCTTACCCGGCTCCGCCCGGCCCTGTCAAACACTATGATAAAGGTTTAATCCTTATCCTTGTACAGCCTTTCCCTGTGCCCACTTCTACATCCAATTCCGTATTCCCGCTGGTTAGTAATCAGCATGCTCGATTGTGCCCTGTGCCAACTCCCAGCCCCGCAGGCCAAACTTTACAAGAAAAATTGGAAAAATCGATGAAACACCCACGCCGCCCGAAGTTATGGGTGCCAAGTTTGGTCCGGATCGGTTCAGAAACAAAATTTTCTATTCGGAACATACGTATATACAGATATACAGACAGACATACATACAAACAGACAGCTTCATAAGACTAGCGACCCTGTCGTTAGAAAGGGGGGAGCAGATACATTGATATCTGTCTTGATTAACTAAAAATCCCCAGGAGGAGAATCTTCATGTTCTCATCGACCTCTCGCGTGTCATGTGTAGTAGAAACAAGAAACCCTGCTCTTAAGAGAAGAAGCTACTAAAAACTACCTGCAAAGAATGCTGTTCCTCTCACAGATACCTTGACCCAGATACCACACCTCTTAAAGGCAGCGTCCAGGAAGATCTGGACCTATGGGGCTTTTACGTGAAAAGTACTTTTGGGGCCCTAACTAAGGCACTGCCCAAGTGGCAGCTCAGGTAGTGCTCACATGGCTGAGATATTGCCCTCGAAACTGGCCCCCGCGACCGTGTTTCGCATGGGTTCATGGCGCAAAGCGTGGATCCTGGCGCGAAACTGCCATGAATCCATGCGAATACGTTCGCGGGGGCCAGTTCGAGGGGAATATCTCAGCCATTAGAGCACCACCTGAGCTGCCACTTGGGCAGTGCCTTAGTTAGGGCCCCAAAAGTACTTTCCACGTAAAACCCCCATAGGTCCAAATCTGCCTGGACGCTGCCTTTAAACAAGGAAGCTGTATCCGATGTCATCTGTTCAGAACGGCTGATTTATCCCAACACTCAGTTGGAATGAAACCAGGAAAAGTGTCATGATAAAGAAAGCATCAAAGTATGTCTTCCAGCAGCAGAAAAACCCAGATATATAGATAAAAACGAAGCAGCATTTTCTTCGATGATGTCATGCCAGTAACCGAACTCCTTAGGACAGACTAAAGCTGGCTTAACGCCTTCATTTGAGGGACAACCTTACCGAAACTGCCTTGTCGCATAAAATAGGTCTTTCCTTTTCTCGAAACCGAGCTCCTTATGCTTCTGCTTTAAGGGGCAGAAGTATGGTTGAGTAGAGGGCCAGAAATAATTTCCAGCAAGTTTCTGTATAATTAAACAAAAACTTCTGCCTTACGGGCAATGGTATAATTAAACATTAACACCTGGATTTTTAGCGCAAATCTCTTGCTGACTAAGCCCATGAGACTTTTCTTCCCTCGAAACCAAGATTCCTGTCTTTTTTGCTTCTAAAGGCAAAAGTGTGATTTGCGAAGCTCAAGGGGCCAAAAGTTTCAGTGAAAATTACTGTCGCAAGAAGCTCATGGATCTGTCTCTCCCTCGAGACTACGCTCAGAGGCAGAAGTATGGTTTTGCAAAGTAGAATGGCCAGAAAGTGAATCTCAAGCTAGTTTTTGTATAATCAAACATTGACACCCAGATCGAGCGAAAACATCTTTCTGAGGCCATGATTCTTTCTTCCCTCGAGACCAAGCTGTCTGTGTTGTTTGCTTTTAGGGGCAGAAGTGTGGTTTTTGTGAAATATTAGGAGCAGAAGCGAATTTCAAGCAATTTCTGTGTAATTAAACAGGTACAGTGACGGTGATCAGTGACGTGGTCAGTGACGTCCGTTACTGACCATCTGTGCGGGCGTATTGAAATGCGGTAGATCCAAGGTTGGCTCATTTCCAAACCTCGATGATCTCACGCTCTAACCTACAATACCACCCACATAACTGGCAAAATTTCCGTGAATTTCGAGAAATTCAAGGAATGTCGCGAAGTTTGGCGAATTCTCGGAATTTCGCGGAATATTGTATTCAACGAAACGCCTTGTCGACTACGTTGAAAAGCGCAATTCTCTAAGAAAACAACGGTTACAAACAGAACGCAAGGCTTAATTGGTGCTCTCATTAACAGATGATAGAGATAGACAGCTACTTTGCTAAATCTTTGAGTCCTTAGTGACTACTTCACACTGATTCTCGGTACTGAGCATCCGGCTAACATCTTGGAACTGTCTGTTTATTCTCTTTTTCATCCCAATCTGCTTGCCTGAGTGCTTCTCGAATTCAAGCTTGCAATGTGTTTATGCAAATAGTGAAAGCGTTTCAGAATGTGTTCGATAAAGCTCCTTCTCGGTGTATTGATTCCATCATTGAACGCCGTAGATCTGAACAGCACAATGCAGCTCCTTAGGTTTGCAAATGGTAATCATTTGTTAACAAATCAAAAAAAAGCTGAATTTGCAGAGGCCCGGACATATATCATGGCCTTTCTCCTCTCTCTGTATCTAATGCAGGTTTGCTATCTTCTACCTTATTGTTTACTTTGAGATTCAGAATTCGGACGATTGCGGGGCTTTGCGAAGTTGGAAAGAGTGCTGCACTTGCTACAGAAAGATGGCTCCGGTGGGTGAGTGACTTTTTATACGATGAGCAATTCCAAGGTGCGAGGTGTGAGTACCTACGGCGTGTGAAGTCTAACACCTTTGCATCTAACTGTAGGAAGGGAAATAGGAAGGGGGGGGGAGGTAGGGAATTTTCACACGATTGCTTCCACATTACCCTGACCTTTTGGCAACACTCCAATAAAAGTTGGCACTGTGCCAGATTTGAGCCGCTGGCTGGGAAAAGACGGTCTACAACTACGATTTTCATGTGCGAGACTTCATAAAATACCGAACAAACTGCTTCGGCTTATTAGGTTTTTGATGTTGTAGCTGAGTTTGACAATCTTGATTGGAAACTGAATAAGATTTTTACGTATTTGAAATCAGTCGCATTTTCAACAACTTACAAGAAGAGGATACTTAGTCGAAAGCACCAATCCAGATGAGACACAATCATCTTAAAGCGCTCGAAACGCTGATTCCAAATCCATAATTTTTGGCAGAGGAGTGGTTTTATGGAAGGAGTTTTGTTTCCCTCTGGGGTTGAGGCGCCCTCCAGCAGGTCTCCCCTTAGGCTCCCGCCAGAGTGCCGAAGTTATGCCAGCGCTACGCCAGCATTTCGATCGATACACGTGTATTTCGTTGGGCACGTCAGCTAGCCCCGCCCCAACGAAATACACGTGTATCGATCGAAATGCTGGCGTAGCGCTGGCATAACTTCGGCACTCTGGCGGGAGCCTTATCCTACTAGTGCCAACTGGTAGCAACTGGCTAGTGATAAGCAAATTGAATGAAGATTAGGGATCGGTTAGAGTTTGCCAGTGTTGCCGGTGTTGAAAGTGTTGAACAGAGATCATCAGTCTAGCAGTTTCATTCTTTCTCGAACGATCTCACCGGCTGGTGAATACGTTGGAAATGGAATTGGGGAATGAGAAATGAAACTGAAATGAGATGGGGAAGATTTTCGCATGCAAAAGATCCTCAAACAAACTTTTTGGAAAGTGGACGGCTTGTCTGGAACAGGCAATCTCCAATATTTGAAAACTCTGCAGACCTCACTTAGGTCCTTTACTCACTAATCGCAAGCGCGGCAGGATTCGAACTAAAACACATTACTACTAAGACGTCAGCTTTCTCAAATATTGGAGATTGCCTATTCCAGACAAGCCGTCCACTTTCCAAAAAGTTTGTTTGAGGATCTTTTGCATGCGAAAATCTTCCCCATCTCATTTCAATTTCATTTCTCATTCCCCAATTCCATTTCCAACGTATTCACCAGCCGGTGAGATGGTTTCAGAAAGAATGAAACTGCTAGACTGATGATCCCCATTCAACACTTTCAACATCGGCAACACTTTCAACACTTTCAACACTGGCAACACTTTCAACACTTTCAACACCGGTAACACTTTCAACACTTTTAACACCGGCAACACTTTCAACACTTTCAACACCGGCAACACTGACCGATCCTTTACATAAAGGATTGTAATTCTCGTGTTACTTTGATTTTTCAACACTTCCAACTTCAATTAGCATCAATATCATCCGAAATTTCAGGCTTTAGAGCTCTAGAGCCATTTAAAAGCTCAAGAATTGCGATAAAGTTGCATGCAAAGGAATTAAAACTTTGACACTCTCTTTATCAAGCAAGGCACTTACCACTAGGCCACTTGCCACCAGTTGGTACCCTACAGTGCTCATAGATAAGAGGAGACCTGCTGAAGGGCGCCTCAACCCCAGAGGGAAACAATCTCATAACTCTTTCCATAAAACCACTCCGCTGCCAAAAATTATGGATTTGGAATCAGCGTTTCGAGCGCTTTAAGATAATATGTGTCTCATCTGGATTGGTGCTTTCGACTAAGTATCCTCTCCTTAATAGCTCCAACATTCAAGTGTAACTTTAAGTTGTAGTAATGAGACCGCAATGTTACCTGATATATCTCGTATATCTCCTTACAAATTTGAAAAGAACACAAATCATGAAAAATCAAATTTAAACACAAATAATGTGCTATTTGATGTCCGGCTGGGGATAAGAACTGCGATCCTTGACATGCTATTCATGTCAAAGAAAAACAGCTAAAACTGAAAGCAATTTTCTCGGCAAAAACTAAACCTTTACTAACAAAGTCTATGGAATTTCTCACTTAATCTTGAACTAAAATAAGTTAATACTGTTCTTTTGCAGACTTCCTTTGTGTGAGAAATATCACATGCTGCCTATCCAAAACTTTTGCATGATCTGAAAGAAAAAATAAATAAAACTATTTGGATATATGTTTGAAAAAATCAGCAGATATGACTGTATCTTATGATGTGCCTTACAAATTAGACTAGTACATTCTTGACAATAAAGACTTTCCTGTTCGTAATCGATAACTGTTATGAAATATTGTAGCTACTTCTGTGCCATACAGGTTTGGTAGGTGGTCTTTATTCCAATCACACGGCCCAACGTTTCGACGCCTTCGTCTTCCTCAGAGGCCTGAAAATGGTTCAAAGCATACCTTCGATAGTCTAGAGACAGGGCGCCAAAAGTGAAGGTTGTTTGAACATCTGACGTCACAAATGGTGAAGGTTGTTCAAAGAAGATCAGAGAAGAGAATATGACGTAAAACAGACATAAAAGCAAAAGAAACGGCTGTAAACCGGATAAAAACGCTGCAATAAGATTTGAAATCTTTCATTTGGCGGCTTTACAGAGTGCAAGTTTTCGCTCCAGGACCAGCAATTCGCAACACGGGGTTTTGATTTTTGATGCGTCCTTTAGATTTTACCCCCGCGCCGTCCCTCTTGTACCCTGCGACGTTGTCTAGATTCTTCCGCTCATCATTCTGAGCAAGTATCGTCCAAGCTGGAGAAAATTCGTTGCGAAACTACTGAAAAAGAATAAGGTAAAGAAAAACGCATTTTTTTGTAATTTTCACAAAAAAAGCGGCATGAGCAAAGAAATAAGCTCGGCGACGTTGTCTACATTATAGACAGAAACAAGACCTATCGACTACACAAAGAAACTGCGTGAAAAGAGTCAAACTAGGAGAAAAACGAGAGATTTTCAAAAACAAGGTTTTTGCCGGTTTTCTTGTTTAAATCATAAAAAGGAGTCCTGCGACGTCGTCAGCGTGAAAATAGAGATCAAGAGCTTCAAAATGATATATAGCTTGCTAAAATTGGGTTCGAAACAGCGAAGAAAAGGGTACCAGAGCCAAATGCCCCGGGCCCGGCGCTTGGGTTAGCGAGGTAGCGCGCAGCGCGCGGAGACGCAGACGAGCAGCGGAGAGAGACCAGAGCCGGCGGGGCATTTGGCTCTGGTCATTGATCTCCGCGGGGTCATAACGAAACCCTATAATATTATATATCGTTGTGATCCTCATGACACGGCCAGGAGCACTGACAACGTCGCGGGTCTTGAATCTCATTCCATAACGAGATAGACCAGCATTTATGTGGCGACTCTCTGCGCAAGATTTCAGCGCAGTTTCTCGTTTTTGTTGAACTCCAGCGGCTTTCATGAACCTCCAACGCTCAATCGCAGTCTATAGAAAGGTTAACTGATAAGTTTTATCCTAATTTCTAACTGAATTTTTGAAGAAAAACCCTCTTTTCAGCAAAAAAGGCCATGAAAACGCTATCTTTCGGTTTTTTGAGCTTTTCTTTGGATGTCACTACTATATTTGCCTCATTCACATTCATCCTTACATAGTTAGTCATTAGTTATGTCATAACATCCGGGGCTTCGCCCCGGATGACTTGTACTCCTCTCCAGGTGAAGGTTGTGTCCTCTCATGACACTCAAAGTGAAGGTTACCAGAGTACGTGGCTCTATGTATCGAAGGTATGGTTCAAAGTGTCACCCGTAACTCAACACCACCAAACATCGCCTCCAAACGAGCTAGTTTTCGGCTTTCCCTCAGTTTCGCTAGCAAAAATTGTGCAGAGCGAAGATGATGTACCGGAAGACCACCGCTATGCGTAGAAGTCCGCACCGGAAGTGAGTGGTCGCGGCGGACGAATGAGTCATCCTATAGATACACATGCAATGTGATCTATAGTTGGCATAGCGATATGAAAGGAAGGAAATCAGCAGTGATTGACAGGCACTCGTTTTTGTCATTCATTTCTGGATTCTTTGCAGATATCCAGAACGCTTCCAACGCTTTCCTAGCCGAGATCTCCCTTTCGTAAGAAAGTATCTTACATTTGATGTCAAAATTGTCCCCTTTATGCACCTCGCTTCTGTGCTTTCCTAGCGGTGAAACCAAGCTTTAACGCTTTTTATCTGCTAAGTGTTCCTTCATGCGAATGCCACGTGATCTTCCAGTTTCTCCGATATATAATATTGGGTTGTTTCAAAAGTTCTACTCGTTTTCGAACTTTGACTTTGATTCATCGTAACTCTTCTCAGAAATAATCGTTGCAGTTGCTATAAACTGTACTACAATCTGCAAATCTTTGGCTATTCTGCGCACTCTTTAAGATTATTGTAGTAACAATGGAGAAGATTTTATAGGCGAGAATCGAGGAACATCTCCTTGTAGAAACCTTCACTTTGCAAAAGCATAACTTGATTTGGAAAATAGCTGAGTTGCACAAGCACTGCTCACATGTAGTTCATAGTTGACTGAGCAGTACCGCTAACTTTGGATTTCATCAAACTCTCTCATAAAAATTTTGTGCTGAAAAATTCGAAAGGACCCACTTATTTTGCTCTTTCTGAGGCGGCAAAAAATGCAATTTTTTGACATTTTTGATTTTTTTCGCCGTTGACAAACCAGGAAACCTTTTCGTTCTTCTAGTAGCAGTTGTTCTAGCTCTAATCTTACTATATAGAGTAAAAGTTCCGCGATTGCAATATGTTTATGATTTTTATGCGGCTTGAAGGGACCATAAAGACAGGTTATGTTTGAGTCAAAAATTTGTAGGTTCATAATTTTCCTGAAATCATATCTCGATGAGCGTTTCGTGCACAAGTCTCCAGCAAACATAATATATGTTTTAAAAGAAGTTTTTTCTTTTT